ATCTTGGGAAAGCTTTCTTTTTCTATTCTAAATAATCATTAAGTGCCTTTTCACATTTTTTAATATTAACACTCATTGCAACCAATTAATCTTTTCTTTCATTAATGCATGCTTCAATAACTAATGGATTAGCAGCAACTTCAGTCATAAGTTCTCTGAATTCTTTATCAACAGCTTCAAATACTTTAGTATCTTCTGGTAATTACATTCTAATATCTTCAGATCCTATAAAAATATTAACTAATGTCTTCCAATTCTTTTGTACTTTTAACCATTCACCAACAACAGAATCAACTCTACCTAATTTTTCTCTCCAATCTTCTACAGTATTATAAAAGAATTCAACATATTTACCTTATCCTTTCATACCCATCAAATCAAGAGAGTGTTAATCTAACATTTCCATCATATTATCTAATGGTAAAAAGATCTTTGTCTCTTTATAATCTTCAAATTCAAAGATTTACTTCAACCAAGCAGTTTCTATCATTTTCAATTTCTTTTCAATTTTAGCTTCTTTTGAAGCCACTTCTACAACTTCATTAATTTAGGCATCAAATTTATACAATTATAAGGCAAGAATATCATCAAATAAGAAAGTCATAGCTTTATGTTCAAATTTACTTTTCGTCATATCTTTCACTTAACTCCAATGTCTATCTTCCATAAATTCACTATGTAAAGCTGAGACTAAGGGTAATACAACTGACATATTCTTGACTTTATCAACAATTGCATTGTAACCTTTAAAATTCTTGACTTCTTTTGGTAAGTTCTTTAATTAAGTTCCTAAGACTTTATTTGATTCTAATAAAACATCTGCCTTAATTTATCTGAATGGTTTTGATTTCCAATCATTATATTAGTAATTAACCATTGAAATGGCATCCCACATTATTTTTAATGATTTCAAATCAACATTGGTTTCTCTCAATTATTTATAAGCACTCTTTTCCAATTCAAATAATTTTTCCAATTAATTATAATCTGCTGCTTCTTTTTCCATTTATAATAATTTTTTATAGTAGTCATCGATTGTAACATAAGAATATAATATTTGATCCATCTTCATATCATCATGATAACTATAAGGTAGATGATTTAAGGTGTCAGTTCTAAAGTCTGATACTTTCTTTTAGAATTCATCTAATTTCTTCTTAATATTAATTGTTTCTTAAGTTTGAAGTGGTAATATTTCAGCTTTAATCTTGAATACTTTCTATGTAGTTTCATTAAATTATGTAAATGCATTATCAATACTTTATACTGGGTCTTCTTCTCCTTTTTCCATAATTTAAACTCCATGTTTTTTTAATTTATTAACCATTTCTTTCATTCTTACAACAATTCCTTCACATTTGTGTTCTACGTCCTTAACATCAGATATTACTCTCATAACTTTCATTAACAAGTCTCTATTTCCTGTATTTTCTTCACTTGCTGGATTTTCTTTGATGCCATCATTTGTTCTTTGGATAAAACCTTTTAGATTTTTTAAAGTAGTCTTGAATTAAACAACCAAAAATTCTGTATAGACTTTTATTTATTGACTAACCTTATTTTCAAGAGCACTTTTCAATGGTTAAAGATTGATTCTTAACCAAGATATCTCATATGGTGTCATGATTCTATTAATTTCTTATTGAATATTCTTTAAAGTTGTGATTTTATCATCAAATAAGTCTAATTTTGGTATTTTGATTCTACATCCTTATAATAGAGGATTTTATGATTGATCTTCATCTTCAGGAGCATCTTTAGGTTCATTCTTTAACATGAAATCTTCAAATGCTTACTTAGGATCTTCTAACCAAAGATAACTATAAGTCATATAAGATTATTTAAATGATCTTGTTTCTTCTTCAATATAATCTAAATTTTAATTGATTGCTTAGACTACTTCTTTGATTTCAAAATATTCTCTAATTTCAGGTAAGTAATCACCAAAAGGATTAGCTGAATCTAATCTTTAAAATTGACCTGCAATATAGAACATATCATTAGCCCATCCTCTTATGGTATTACGTACACTTTAACCTTGAGTAGTTTCTTCAATCTCTGGCTCATATTAAATTCCTACATTCCTAAACAATTCCAATTTTATATCAAAGAGTGGGGCAATCTCATGTTTCTTAATATATTATGGATTTATTTGTTCATTCATATGTGTTAAAGCAGTGATGATAGCTCTTGCTAAACCATTAATTACTATAGAATTTAAATAATATTGATAATTAATCCAAGCTTACTATTTCTTATCAACTTTAACTTAATCAAGTACTTCTTTAACAAGTTTATTAATTGAAGTACCATTTTCTTTAACAATAGATAATTTATTTTATACAACAGCTTTTAAGAATTAATCATAATCATCAGGAGACATTGGTTTATTTTTTCTTTCTATAATTTTTGTATTGAATTTCTCCAATGCTTATTCTATCTTTTTTAATGTTTCCTTCATTTTTTATACAATTTAATGTAATTCATCAACAGTAGCCTTAGCTGTTTCAATAAACTTATTGATATCATTACTTTTCCATTTATAATGCTCAATACCTGGTTTAAGAACTTCATCCATTTTTTCAATTCTATTTTTTATTAATGGTTCTTCCATTGGATGTAATTAAGTAACAATGAAATTATGATTCTCTACTATCATTTCCAATTAGACTATATAATCTCTGAAAGTATCATTCTTAGAATACAATTCAGAAGCAGATTCAGGAACTGGTTATTCAAGTAAAGTGAAATATTTGACTTCTCTCAACAATCTAACTAAAGCAGGATCAAAATTAACTCTTAATAATCCATTCTCATCTTTGGCTAATAAAGGTTGCTTTTACTTTTCTTCTGATACTTTACCAACTTCTTATTCCCAACTCAAAATCTTTGTTTATTCATAATCCTTTATTTATTTTGTAATTGATTAGTATAATTTCAATACATCCTTATATTCTTCTCTCTCTGTTATACCTTATCCTAATTAAGCCAATTTATCTAATGGTTCAGTTATTCTATCTCTTAATCCCTTACACCACATCAATGCTCCTGCTATTGGAGGCATATTATTATAAATTGGAGCTCTTTCATGTAATTTATCAACTAATTCATATCCTTCCAAAAATATTTGTTGCACTTATTTCAAGTCTTATTTGTACATATCTAATAAAACTATGTGTTTTTTCTCCAATTCATCTTAAATTATTGGCCTCGATAATAAACCTTCAAAACTATCTAATAATTTGAATCTTCCATGTAATGTATCATAATCATCAAAACCTTATGTAATTACTGAAGCCAATCTTCTCTCTAGTTCTTTTATCTTTGATCTAAATTCATAAAAACTATCATCAAATTCTTTTTAAGTAATATCCATAATATCATATTTAACTTATTAGAATTATTCTACTGCCTTTTAAAATTCCACAAAAATTTATTAAACTGATTCAGTTAATGTTTTTCCCTTTGTTCCTCCTAAATCAATTTTTGCTAATTTATTAAATTGAACTATTGTATTAGTTAAATGTAAAATATCATGACATCTCTCTAAAAATGAATCCAATCTTACAAATAAAGCATTTGTTGTTAATTTCCAATTACCTTCAGCTTTAGCTTTATACTCAAAGTACGCATCTTTAAACTTTGTACAAACATCAATAGTAATTTATAATTTCTCACAAGCTTCAAATGTCTCTTCTGAACTTATCATCTAAAAAATCATAGGTCCATTAACAAAATCTTAAGCTTTAGTTATGATGGCATTGCATATTTCTCTAATTAAAACGACTAATCTTGGAGGAGTATTATAAAATTTAGAATTCTTCCAAATCAATAATATTCTATGCATGATTGGTATAAATAATTCATGTAAAGCTTAAAAATCTCCACCTGTATCTTAAAGTCTTTAAAATGGATCTTTTAATAAATCTAAAAATTTATTATTATCATTAGCTTCTTCTCTTGCCTTAGCTACTTCTCTTTATAATTTTGAAAATGGATTTGTATATGTTGATTTATTTACTTCTAGAAATCTTAAAATCTTAATCACTTCTGGTCCTTCCAATTATTCTTTAATGCTATTAAGATTAGCTGCTTTGTTCTCCCAAAATTTTAATTCTACTAAAGGTCCTGGATTGTGTCCATTTTTTAAAGCTTATTCTGGTTCCAATTTCAATACATTCTTTATTTATTTAGTCCATGTTATTATTGAACTTTCATAAACATGAGCCTTATCTTTAGCTGGAGTTGTATCTGATTACGTCAATTTATGTGATGGAATTGGCTTTTAATATATTGCTATTGTATACCAATTTAGTTCTTCCTTCAATCTAACCTATCATTACATACACTTAGGCAACATATGCATTGAACTTTTCCATTAAGTCTTTAGCTACCAAATCTGTCCATCCTTATTGATTACTTGGATTCTACAATATTGGACTCATTATTTCATAAAATGTTGAGTATAAATGTTCCAAAATCTAAAATAATTTATGATTGTTACATTTCTTGTTAATTCCAAAAACACTATATTTTGAGTTATATTCTATACTGATAATGGGCTCTCTGATATTTTGAGGGCAATCAGTCCTTTCTTTCTAAACTTATCTGGATGAGGAACATCAGAAAATAATGTAACAGACTCTGCTCCAGATTATATGGCAAATACAGCCATCATATTACTTTCATCCTTCATTAATCTATCAAACACCATTCTAATTTATTCTTAACCATATAATACTTATTATCTTCAGTTTCAAAAGATTTCTTGAATTTGTCTTATTATATTGAGTTTCTTATATTGAATGAGCAAGCAAGACGATTTATAAAATAATCTTCCTTGCTTTTTAGAGGTTCTTAGTCACCCATTCAAAAATAGTAAAATAATTTGAAAAATAAATAATATCCTTAATTCATTAGGAAGTTATGCTTTTAATCAGGCAAACGGGGTTTTCAAATTATTTTTACATTTAGAAATAAAAATTATATTTAATATTATATTCCTTATCAATCCAAGCTTTTCAACTTATCTTCTTCAAATTCAATCAAATAGGTGTTACGATATACAATGTTACTGCTAATCAAAATGTGGTAATTCATTTCTCTTCCATTATTCAGGATATGCTACATAATACAACATTATCTTATTTTTATATTACAAATATTATCTTAACCTCTATTTTTTCTTTGATTTCAATATATACAAAGATGCTATTAAATATAAATTAAATTGAACAACCTTTTTTTTATAAAAATTCAATTAAATAACTTTAAAAAACTCTTTTTCTCTAAACTATTTCATTTGAATCTATTTCATTTATTGTCAAATGTTATTTTAATGCTTAAAATCCAATTATACTTGAAGCCACTCTCTTATAATATTTTACTATGTCTTAATGTAATCCAAAACTTTCCATTGCTTTTATTGCATTTCCAATTATGTAACGACACTCATTCTAAAATTTTTATTTCTTTTCCATTTTCACTTATCTTCTAAATACATTTTCCAACTTCTCTTTTATTCTCTCTCTATTCTTATATAATAAAATTTACTTCTCTTCTTAATCGCTCTCCATAATCACATCTTCATTTTTGTTTAAATCAAAAAGGTATTCCATTTCAGTTGTACTTGCAAATTTTAAATGATTAATACTTTTCTTCATTGTTTAAATTCTCTTAAAAATTCCAAATGCTAAGTGGCTATGAATCCTCATTATGGCATTAAATATAGTTTGATAGATCTTCGAAACTTTAACAATTATTAATGAATTCAGACATCTTTTTATAATATTGTAAATTAATTAATTTAAGACTTACAACTTAATTTCTAGATTAACAAGAGAGTATTCTTATTAAATATTAATAGAATTCACAAATAATCTTTGGCAATAAATTTCATTGATATTTATTAAGATATTATATTTAAACTAAATATATTTTATCAATAAGAAGCTAAAATATTAAAATTTACAAAATTATACTATTTATTCGTTATAATTTATTTATAAGATTAAATTAAGATTCAAATTATTAATGATATAAGAGCTTATCTTAAATTATTTTGAAAATCTCATACATGTATTTTAATATTCTCTAAGGGTTTCTACTTTATATCATTATTATTTTAGAATCTTATTCAAATTTGTTAATTATTGTCAAACCATAACATTTTACAATTTTATTGAACATTAAAAAAAATCTTTTTATTTTAATCCATTCTATTAGTAAATATGAACTAAAAATTAATGTTAAAGATATACTAATACATAAAAGTTAAATCTAAAAACAATTAAACAAAAAACCTAAAGAAAAGAGCAAAAAGATGCTCCCTAGAATTAACAAAACTTAAAATGATATATTTAAATTTTAATGGCTCTAAAACTTATAGAGACTCAAATATTATCAATGTCTCTACTTAGGAGATTTAGATACCAAAATCAAAATAAATACTATTACTTTCAGTATAAAGAAGTTTCAAATTTTTTTTTAAATATTTATTGAATTAGGTAAATAAAAATTTTAATTTCTTTTTAAATTATTTTAGAGCACTAATTGATAAACCAATTTATACCTTTTATCAGAAATTCAATTTAATAAATTTCATTCATTAATATTTTCAACGAAATTTATCGAATACAATAAAACTACTAATAGTCTTTATATATTCTAAATTATGATAAAAGTAAATGTAAAACTTAATTTATAAATTTAAAAAAAGGCTATACTTATACTGATTTAGTGTTAACTTAATATTACTCTTTTTATTTAAAATTTCTTTTAAATAATATATAGCAAAGAAAAGAGAAAATAATTCACTTAATTTTTTCAAACAAATTAAGTATTTAATTATAAATTTTTAAGGTTAGAGTAGATTTATAGATTCTATGAATTATATTTATTAGTAAAATAAATTTTAAATCGTTATTGTAATTGTTTCTTTATTGCCTTTTGCAGAGGCTTATGTTCTTTAGGGTTAATGTTTTTATGGTTGTTGTTTTTATTGTTATTTTGGTTCTGGATCAAAATCACTATCACTTAAATCTGAATCTGAATTCGATGATTCTACCCCAACAAAATAAACTATACATGTACCACTTCAACTACATAAATTATTTTATACTTCTGATATTCCTTTGAGATTTTTTAGTTATTTGATTTCTTCTAGGAAGTATTTATAGACAACATCGCATTTTTCATCTTTAAACTCTTTAAATTAAACAAACACAATATCCACATTTATATCCAAACCTTTCTTCTTATTTTACCTCTGATATGTCCTAGTCTTTATTTGCTATCACTCAAACATAAAAAAATTAATCTTCTACTTCCCATCAATTTTATAACTTAGGCATAATCTTGACCATTGTCTATTGTTTCTAATTATCTCTTTGTTCCCTTATTTTTGGCATTATTTTAAATTCATAATTTAATTAATTTTAAATAAAAACTGAATAAAAGAAAATTTATATATCAGATATCATCGATCTATTTTATATAAATTTTCTTTCATTAAGTTGATTTCTAATCAAATTAAATATAATTTAATTATAGATTTTAAAACAATTCATCTTCAATATAAAATAAATTAAAAATTAAATGAAGAAGAAACTTTGAAGCATATTTTATATTTTATAAAATAAATAATGATAAATTTAGTTTTGGAATTATAATTTTTTAATATAATGATTGATCAATTTTAAGTCTAAAATGGATTTTGCTGATACTAATAATTTTATATTGGTTGATTTTAATAAATTTGTTATTATTAAATATTTGAGGGATATTATTCAATATTGAATTATTATTAAGGATGCATATTTGAAGGTTGTTAAAAATCATTAATTTGCCTATTTTATTATTATTTAAGATAATCTTGTTCAGGATTATCTATGAAAATATAGAATATGATTACTTTAGTTTCCTGAACGTATCTAAGCCAATTGCTTTCTTTCTTGATAATACCTACTCAATAAATATGCTCCAAATATGAGATCGATGCATGCTCCAATGAAAAACATAATAATATATGCAATATTATAGTTATAAATTGTATCTTTAAAAACATTTCGAATTATAGAAATATCATCCTATATATAAATAAAAAATATACCAAAGTAATAGAATCAGCACAATTTTCATCTATTAAATTGGAATAAAAATTAATTAGACCGTTCACAGTTGAAAAGCTTACTATTACTATGATAGCTTAAATTAACTAAAAAGCTTCTTTTATTGAAGCTTAAATGCACAATAAAGTATTTGATTCTTATGATCCTTTTCCTTTAATACAAGGTAGATCATATCCTTTTATTGTTAGACAATTTAAAATTAATAGGATAATAAAGAATACTAAACAAATGATAGAAATTATCATCAAAACTAATTATTTAGTTTCAATATCTTCTAAAATATCTACCGTATCCATAAATTCTTGCTAATATTATCTACAACTTAACGTAAAATTTATATAATGTCTTGCATATAAACCTAAAATAAAATTAATAATTAATAACCCCATTCATACTGACTTGAAATTTCATAGCCTGGTGCTAATTTAGCAATATCTAATGCATTATTAACTTTATAAAAATAAAATTCATTAAAGAGATAAATTAATTTAAATCTTTGATCTCTTTCACAATCATATCCAGGATCAGATATCAATTAATAATTTGATCTTCCTGAAGTAATGCTTCTTTCATTTACTTTTCTACAAACACCATTTCCTTAGGCTATTTTAAATTAAACTAAAGGTAGTGTTTTTTCATTTTCTCTGAATGTTTGAAAATAATTTTGAATTCCACTTTAGTTATTTAAGTTATTTTTGATTTAAAAGATTGGACATTCATTTTCTTTTGTACAATAAAAATAATCAGAAGCAGTTCCACATTTTTTTTCACCTTCCTAGCATTCATTTGATTTTGGTGAATTTTAAGCAAAAGTATTATTTGCTGTTTCTCTTTAAGCACAAATACTTAGTTTTGCATTCCCTAATTAAATTGGTAATTTATTAAAATTTCTTGAACTCATTTCATCAATATCTTTGCATCCTGCATCCCTCATCGAAGAATTACATTCTTTTTCATAAATTTTGTCCTCTTTATTAAATAATAATCTCTTTGGAGTAATATAATGATCTTCTTCTCTACAATCGCAACCTTGATTTATGCCAGGCCAATTGTAATTATTAATTAATTCTTCCTAAAATATTTTTGATTTTTACATTTTAATTGCAATCTCCATCAGTTTCCCTAATTTATTTAATAGGGAGTTAATTCCAATTTTAAACAATATTTCTAATATAAATAATATTTTCAGTTATAGAAACATAAGCTATAATAGATAAAACCATTAAAGTTATTCCAAGTGCTAGCAAATATATTTAAAATATTATCCTTGTTCTAATATTGCTTGGAATATTTGATGTTTCAGCCTTCCTTAACTCCATATTTATTTTAAAATCAAAAATCTATATTTAATAATTCAAATTGCTAATTTTCTCAATATATTTTGTATAGATATACTTTTAAAAAGTTACATTAACTATCATATAAACCTAATATAAATAGATAAAAATAGAAAGAAAATTAGTTAAATTTTATATTTATCTTTTTAGTTAATTTTATGAATCAAATATAATATTTAAACTTTGGTTAAGCATTATTTAAAGGTTACTGAGGTAAGTCTTGTAATTATAAATTAGAAAAAGAAGAATTTTCTATTATGATTATAATTAAATACTTGAAAATTCAAAATTAGAAGTTTATTTATTTAGTAAAATATCATCTTCTTCTTCATCAATTTAATCAATATCTAAAATTTTATTTTAAGTTTTTATTTCTTTCTTTTTTTCTATTTCTTTAGAAGATTTACTTTATTATTATTATTTAATTTTCAATTCTAAATCAATTTTTTATAAATTCTACTCTATTTAAATATTTTATGGTTTGACAAATTAATGTTTATTTTGTTAAAATCTTTTTATAGCCAAAGCTTGATTAAATCCATTTTATTTAACAACAGCAGGTCTGACTGTTAAAATCTTAAAAATAGATAAGATTATTGAGAAAACGCATTTTGATAGAAGAAATGTAGTCCATAAGCGCATTGTTGATTTTGAATCTATAAAATTATATAATCTAGAGATTTTAGTTTAAGTGTAGAAAGTCCATATCAAAATAAACAATACTAATTCTATAAAAATCATTCTATATGTTTCAATAATGATTTCATAATTTACTTTAATTGTTTTTGTAAATTAATATCCTTAAACTGGACATAAAGTCACTAAAACATCACTCGAAACAAAATAATTTTAGTAGTAGAGATTTCTTTATAACAAAGATAAATATTTAGCTTAATCATTACTTGGGGATGTAAATATAAATTTGATTAAATTTATTAAGGTTATAATAAATGAATCAGCAAATCTCCCAAATATCACTATACTAAATAATATCTAAAATTTTTCAATTTAAGTATCAACATTATTATAATCCATAGTTATTAAAGAAGCCAAAAACATTCTTTCAGCTAATGTACTTGATTTACCAAAAATGGAATAAAACATTAAAAATATTTCTCGATTATGTGGAAATCTAGTATGAAGGTGTTCCAACATTTTAGGATGTATAATTTATAATGCAGGCTAGATTTTTCTTCTAAATGCGACACTCAAGATTAATTGAAATATTTCAATAATTAAAATTATTCCTACTATTACAAAAGTGTAAACTAAATCAATGTATATAACATTAGTTGTTAATTCATTATTCTCTTTATTCTCGATTGTATTTTAATTGTTTCTTTTTATTTAAAAAAATAATTTAAAAAATTAAGAAATATTTACAACTACAAATCCAATCCAAAATAATATAACTAAGATCTTAATATTAATATTATTTCTTCTAAATTTACCTATAAACAAAGTACTGACAATAAAGATTTATGGTTCAATTAAGTCTAAATAATTCATTAACTTATTAATCTTATGAATTAACCAAAATCCAAATATTCCTCCAAATAACTTTTCTTTATATTTTTAAAAACTTTCTTGCTGCTGTAGTCTATACTAGTTAATTTAATTTTATTTTGCTTAACGTAAAAGAAAATTACGTAATCTTAATGTTAAATAACGTAGTAATCCATCATCAAATAACTTTCTAGTTTCTTAAGAATCAGATATATGCAAAGCTTTTAATTAATGTTTCTCATAGCTGTAATCAAATAAATGAAAAAATAAATAAACTTTCCCATACATGGTTATGTAAGGATTATCTGAAACATCAATAAATTCAATGAATCCCAAAAGAGGATAATATTTACCAAAGGATTCACAAAATTTATCAGTAAGATTTGATTTAGATAATAAAATTTCTTTTAAAAAGGAAGGGAGTGATGTTTAATTTAAACGATATTTCTAGCAAATTCTTGTATATTACTCCAATATATGATCAGCATCTTCATCATCTAAATCAGACCATACATTATCAATAAATAAATTCTTTTAATAAGAAAGAATTTAAGCTAATATTTTTAAACCTTATTTCTAAAAGCTATTATTTCTTAATAACAAAAACTCTATTGAACATTTTTAAAATTTCAATTCATCTAATTTCTTAGCGAAATGATCACCAATTTTATTACTGCTTATATTTATTGTTTTTATTGTTTAAGTAGCAAATATACCTTCAAGAATTTAAATCATTCCTACACTTGTAAATAAATTTTATTAAAGATATAGTTCTTTTATTTATATTGATAAAGTTATTGTTTACTTTAATAATTCTCCTATTGAATCATCTAATTAATTATTACTTAAAGATAAGCTAATAATATGAGAAAATAAAAATTAATCCTAATGGATTCGATGTTCTTTAATAAGATTTTTAAAAAAGTTAATTTTTAATTTGCAATTAGATAAATTAAGTTAATTTATTAATGCAGCTTATTTTTATTCATTTAAAAATTAATGAGGGGTAAAAAATAAGATTAATTCTTTCTCATCTATTGGGTTTTCTGATAAATTGAGTTCTTCAAATTAAATAGTTTTGTATTCTGAAACAGCAGCAAATTTACTTTTACATAGATTATTGACAATATTATTATTGGCTATCGATAATATTCTTATGGTTGGATTAATAGATATGGCTTAACCTAATGATTCTAAATCTAGATTTCCTAAATTGCATTTATTAATAAATAAATTTTAAATAGTTCTATTTCCTTTAATTCCTATACACAATTCATCTAGCCACTCTTATCGTAATACATTTTCACTTAAATCTAGTGTAGTCAACTAGAATAATTAAATATGTTACACTGCAATTATTTGGGTTCAACATCCATTCTTTTGCATGAAAAAACGATTCTCCTGTAAATGAAACTTAATTTAACTTTAATATTTTCAAATTTTTCAATTCGTTTAACATTACTGCAACTTTATTAAGATTCAAATACATCAATGGATTATATGTTATACTTAACATTTATAGTTTTTTACACAATTATAACTGCAATCCAAATTTCCCATAATCATTTAGTCTGAAACTACAACGATTTAGAGTGACCCCTAAAATGTTATTTTTTTATTTTTTAATAATATTTAATAGATTCTTAATATTTGATTTATCAAAATGTATTTAAGATAATTATAAAAGTTGCATTCTTTCAGTGGAGCATAGATTAAAAAATGTTTTTAATCTCTTTATTCCAGGGTTATTTGAAATATTTAAGTATTAAAGATTTTCATTTGAAATTATTTTACTCAATATTAATAAATCATCAGCACTCATTTTTTAATAAGAAACGCTGAAAATATTAAATAAATGCATACTTTAAACTTTTTAAACATTTATTCTACTATAAAATTCTTGATATTGCTATCAATCCTGTAAAATCAATATTATTATGAGACAGATTGAGAAACTACAAATTTCGATAAGATGATATAACAATTTCTAAGTAATTTGTATGTTTAGACTCAAGACCATTAAAACTTATATCTAAACTCTCTAATTTAAAGTTTGTAACAATCTCTTCTAAATAAAAAGTCTTTGCTATTTTATATAGATTATTTTAGCTTAAATTTAATTTCTTTAAGCTACTGTTGAGAATTGAATTTCTTAGATTTTTAACACTTTCAATATTTAATCTTCCAATATTCAAATCCCTTAAATTTAAATCATGTACAATTGTAGATTTTTTTAAAAATATGCAAAGTAAATCTAAATCTTATTCTGTTATAGGTTTACAGGAAGATAAATCTAAAATTTCTATTTTATTAAAGTAAGTAGCTAAAGAACTTATCACTGGAGTAAAAATATTTTCATTTTTTGAAAAATCTAATTCTCTTAAATTAAATGATATTAATTAAAATTAATTTTAAGAAGATTTATTAAGGTTCTCCTCTTCATAAAATAATGAAGAATTTTAATAAATTTCCTAAATTTAATTTTATTATTTCTATTAAAATGAACATCTAAGACATCTCAGGCAACCACTCTTAATGTATTTTAATAAAAAAAATATTAATGTATATCTTATAAAATTATAAGATACATCCAACTACTCAAAGTAAACCTGCTCATGATTAATCATGTATGTAATTATTGCTTCACCATCTAAATTATTATTGGCTACATTAAATTTTTTTAACATTTTATTATCTCTAAGTCCAAATATTAGAGAGTTGAATCCTTAACTTTTTATTTGATTATTTGAAAGATTTAGTTCTATCCATAAAGGATTTTATCTTAATATATTGGATAATTAAAATGCTCCTTAACTTTTAATGTTGTTATTTGATAAATTAATAACTAAAGTATTAAAAAAAAACTATTAAGGAAAACATGAAATCAAATTAGAACTTAAATTGACTTCATACATTTTCCTCTATATTAGATTTTAACAACTAAACTCTTCTATTTAATTTTGAGATAGATCTAATTTTTATAAATTATTAATTTTTCTTAGAAATGTCTCAAGATGTTCAATTCCTTATTAATCAATAAAATTTCTTCTTATAATAAGTTCCTTTAAGTTTATTTTTCTTATATTCCAATTTACTCTTGAAGCCAATACTTCTAATCCTTGATTCCTGATATTATTGTCTCCAATATTTAAATACTCTAATATCTTTTCACCTTTATAATGTTAGAGAGCCATTCCTAAACTTGTTAACACATCAGTTGTAAATTACATCATTGATAAATCTATTGCATTTATTGATCTTGAGTATCTAAAGTTAAATTTAAATATACTTAAGATTTCTCAATAAATAACTTAAAGATGTATTAGATATGTTACAATGAGTTAACTTTAACTTTTTTAGATTATTCTTCCCTTTAAAGACAAATTAACTTATATCATTCATCAAATCAATATTAAAGCCTTAGTTATTAAACAAATTTATTGATTATAAAGTTTGATGATTTGCAATTGATGAAAATATATATTATAAACTAAAACTGTTTAATTTACATCCAGAAAGATTGATTTCGAATAAAGAGGAATTTTTTTAAAGTCCTTATCCCAATTCTATGGCCAAAAGAGGATCAATTTCTATTCCTGATAGATCAAGAGATCTATATATTAGTAAGTTAATCTAACCTTAAGCTTCTGGCATTTTAAATTGCAGAATTTAGAAATGAAAAACATTATTATACTGAAACTGGTGTTTCACCTGAAAACCCTTCTAAAGTTTTTCGCCTTTTCAAATCTATAATACTCTCTCTCAAATTTCTAAAATATCAATAAACTTACACATTTTGATTTTAATTAATCAATAATTTCATATACTTTGCAAATCTAACTTTTTTATTATTTGTCTCAACATTTACGATCTTCTCTTCTTTCTCAAAAATTTCCCGGAACTACTTTTCTTAATTAAAAATAGTTTTCTTTTGTGTTTAATTTTTATTAGCTGATGTCTTGAGTATTTATTAAAATTACATTTATGATAATTAATATTTATCTTATTTATTTTTATAAGTTTTTACTATTTAAAGACAATCTATGAATTAGAGATATTTTGTCAATATTAAGGCTAGACTAAATAAATTAAAAATTTTTTAAACTAAAATAATTAGAAAAAAACCAATTTAAAAATAATAGAAGCTTAAACATAAGAATAGAATGAAAATTTTGATCATTAAAATAATATTTAAAATAATTTCTACTTTAATCAATCATTTTTTCAATCCCAAAAAATTCCCTAAGACTTTTATTAAAATTAGTCTTGCATTTTTTCTTTTAATTTATAAATATATATTCTATGAACATCTTGTGTTTTAGATTTTAAATGTTTTTAAGTTAAAATGAACTAAAATTTTGATAATAAAAAAATTAATAATTCGATGAATTAATAGAGAAACAATTAATTACCACAAAATTCATTTCTAATGTTGTAATAATACGGGTCCATAGAGCCTAATCAATTTAAAACTTTTTTTAATACAGATGAGCCTTGGATGTTAAGTTAATATTTTCAAGATTAATCCTCAGAATAATTTTAATAAAATTTAGTTGCTTTTTTTAATAATATCAGGCAAATCAAAAAGATTTAACTTACAAGTTATCCTTCACACATTTATTTGAAAGCTAAATAACTCAATTAAAATGACTTTTAGCTTGACAATGAGAAATTACAAAATGCTGCCTCAATACTTTAAATACAATTATTTTTAATAGAATTATAATCTTTATATCCTAATTAACCAAAAAAAACAAACTTTTCCTCATAAAATAACTAGTAATAAGCCATAATTATTATCGAACAATAATCGTCTTCATAACATATCTCATACATGTTTGGACTCTAACAATAAAGATAATAAATTTAAAGTTTCCCCTTGAATATGTGCTTTGTTGGATCTAATACTTAAGGACAATAATTTTCCTTTAATTCTTAATTTCCGAAACCTAATCAATAATAACAAAGACTAAAATCCAATCCTTATTTTAATTAGTTCAATCCTTAAATTAATTAATCCAATCATTAACTTAATTAACCCAATCCTTAATTTAATTAACCCAATCCTTAATTTAATTAACCCAATCCTTAATTTAATTAACCCAATCCTTAATTTAATTAACCCAATCCTTAATTTAATTAACCCAATCCTTAACTTAATTAACCCAATCCTTAATTTAATTAACCCAATCCTTAATTTAATTAACCCAATCCTTAATTTAATTATATCAATCCTTAAATTAATTATATCAATCCTTAAATTAATTATATCAATCTTTAACTTAATCCATCGATTCCTTAATCACCTGAAATAGACGTTCTAACTACTGAGTCAATCTCATCTAAAATAACTTCATAGAAAATATTACCTAAACAATTACAAACGCCTAAATATAATCCAAATAAATAATAAAAATGTGAAATATGTTATGAAGTTTATGAATTGAACTCAGAACATTAAATAATGTTGCCTTGTTGCAATAAAATTGTTCATAAATAATGTAATTTATAAGAATTGGCTTCAAGTTTAGATTTAAGGTATAATTTGATGTGCTTTTTTTGCAAAAAGCCTTTAGATATAAATTTTTTGAAAAATAATATGAGTTCGGCTGCTTTCCAAAAAAGAGCTAGAGAATTAGTATTGAGCAAGTACTTTGAAACATGCTTTAATTGCAAAGCTAAAATTTAAGTTTTACCAGAATAAAAGAAAAAAATTTGTAAAATTGAGTGTAACAATTGTAAAAAAAGCATTTGCTCAAAATGTATGAAGATTTATCATGAGGAAGAATCAATAGTAATATTTTATTAAATTATTAGTGTAAAGAGGTTAGATAAGAAATTATTTAATTATTATAAGGATAGCCAATTATTGTTTGTCCATTTTGTGATTTAATTCAAACTAAAGATGATGGATGCAATCATGTAACTTGTGATTAATGTAGAAATGATCTTTGTTCTTAATGTTCAGTAGACAGAAAACCTATTATATTACATGGAAATCATTTTCATAGAAAAGGATGTGTGGATTTTAGAAGTATAAAAGGATATGATTAAATGACTAAAGAAAGAATAAGAAATTGCGAGTTGTGTTAAAAGAATGGTGGTTGTCATTTTCCAATTGATCTTGAGACTTATAAAAAAGAAAAAGGGTACTGACTTTAATTTATGTTTAAACAATTAATTTATTTTTTTTAATTTCAGAAAATCTATTTATAAATTATCTATTTTTATGATTTTTTAATTCTATTAAAAATAATTTTAATTATTGGTGTTATGAATAAGCTGTTTTAGAAATTTTTAACATCCAAAAGGGATGCCAAATACTTTAAAAAATAATCAGAAAAATTTATATATACCATCTTAATTGAAAAATATTTTTTTAGAAAAATCTTCCAAATAAGAATAATCCTCCATTTTAAATCAGGAAATCAAGAAAAAGAATTAAATTTTAGGTTAACATTGATGCAATCCAAAAATCCAATTAAATTAAAAATCATGTTTATGAATATGATTTTGAACTAATAATTCAATTCAATTCCAGATCATTTAAATACTTTTTATAAAGTTATTCTTTATCCTTATCAAATGAAATAATAAACTATCCAATGCCTTCAGGTCCCTAATCAGTATCATCAAGTTATCCTTCGGCTGTATTGATTGCTGGATCTGTAAAATTATAACCCACTCCTTATATATCACAGACCAAATATTAAAAGTCACTAATATGGTAGGTGTAATAAGAAAAAACTTGAGCTAAAATATATATCAAATCTTTTTATGGATTAATATATCCAAAGTTGTTATTAAATTTGATAAACTCTCCTTAAAAGAATCTTTCAGCAATCCAATAGCTCGCTGTATAATTAAATATAATATTTACTTTCATGTTCTTTAAGTATTAAGAAATCTGAATACCTTATTGGAAGGGCTTTACAATTTTTATCATTTAAATTTTAAATAAATTTTTGCATCAATCTTTTGGAAATAAGATGAGATCTACATTCTAACATGGCTTCATTCATAGTTTTATAAGTTTAGCCCCTAAGAATATATAAAAATAATACCCAATAGGCATTTTAATCACATATACTTCATTTTAAGCAGAGTTTTCTATTTTTTTCATCAAATAAACCTCTTTAAGTTGTCCAAAAGCAAATGGTTTTAATGTTCTTATGCAATTCCATTCACTTTCATGTGTTATAGAATAATCTTCAGGAATTTTAATCTTAAATATTGATGTAATATTTTTTTCAAATGCTTCTTAGTTAATTTCAACCCTATAAACATTAAATTTAGTTTAAATAGTAGTAATCTTAGGATCTAAATTGAATTTTGTAGGATCAGGTAATAATTTAACTAATGCCTCAAATGCCCCATCTCTTTTTACATTTTCTTTTTTGGATTTAGTCCCTGCTTAGCTAACTTCTGTTATTGAGATTGATGCTTCTGAAATAATATTAATTAACTAATCTTATATTTATCCAGGAGGTTTGTTTTTTAAATCTACAACTATTAGCATAGATTATTTATTTTAGTTTGCATAGTAGTTTTTCATTTGTGCAAACATAACTTCAGTGCTTGAAGTGAATTCAATTCCTATTAAAACTATATTTTTATTAATTAATTATTATAATGCATCTCCCAAATCTTCATTTGGATAATCATCCAAAACATTTCCTGCCCATTTTTTACCATGAGATGGAGCATCACATATTAATAAGACAATTTTAAAAAATTTACCCCATGTTAAATTATTTACCATTTATTTGATTCCATTTCTTAGATCTTCAGCACCATCATCTCCTCCATCACAAGTTATATTTTTGAGAAAATTCATCATTGCATTACCATTTCTTGTAAATTAGTGTTACAAATACTAACCTTTTTATTTTAATTCTGCAAAATCTTAATAACAAACAGCTCCCCATTCACAATCTCGATTAGTTTAACTTTTAATGCATTCCATTGATCTTTAAATAATATTCATTGTTGCATCTTTATATTTATCCATAGATCCTGTTACATCAACCAAAAGTCCAACTTAAAGTATTCCTTATGTATTCATTATTATTTCCCTTAATTTCATTGCTTTTTTTTGTTTCTCAAGCTTATATTGTAAATCTCTTTCTTTTTTAATTTAAATCCTTTCAGCATTCTATTCTGCTAATCTTTTTTTCTCTTCTTCTTTTTTTTCCTCATCTTATTTTTTTTTTTGATATATTTCATTTTGCATATTTTATTACAATCTTTAAAGTTCTTCATGTTAATTTAATTCTGCTTACTATCTATTCTATCCAGCCTAAATTTGTTATGATTAATCTTTAAGATAATCTATAATTTTTTTATCATTTTTTATTTCTATTTCTTTTATGTCGATTAGATTTTATAAATCCTCCACTTTTTATTTTAATCTACAAATCTCTTTATCTCTATCCTCTCTTTTTTTTTACTCAACAAATGCTTGATGTTATAACTCATCTACTTTAGCTTCAAGTTATCTGAGCTTTTAGGCTTACTATTAAATAAGATCATTAAAATTTTAATTTTTTTAAAATTAATCTGTATTTGCTTGTTTATTTACATTCTCTAATTATCTAAATAAATCTTAAGTTTCTTATTCAAAATTTTCAATTTTTTGATTTTTTTCACTTATTTGTTTACTTAAATCTTAAACCTATTTTCTTAATTTAGTAATCTAAAGTTGATCTTACTCATTAATATTTGGTTAAGGGTTTATTATTTAAATATTTGGATTGGTTTTCCTTCTCAATTAATCATTTTCATCTCTAAGCAAATCATTTTCATTCCTAAATTTAAAATGTCAATTATGATACCTTAATTCTGAGATTTCACCATTTTGAGTATTAATTTTCTTCTTTAAATTATTAATTTCAGACAGATGGGTATATTTAATTTCATTTTACTTTGAATTATATTTGTTCTCCATTTCTTCAATCTCATGGTTATATTTCTCATTTAATCTATTAATTTCATTCTTTAGATTTTATATCTTTTTATCTTTATCTTTCGATTAAGATGTTACATCATCTAATTGGCTTTCAATATATTCCTTTTATTATTTTAATAGATCGTATTGTTTATCTTTTTAAACTTATTGTTTATCTTTATGAATAGTATCTAATATTTAAGGAGGGCCTGAAATATCGAAATTAAAAGTGTTTTAATTTTTATTAAAATCTTGGGGAAAAGGATACTATGGTTGAACAAAATTTGGTTATTATGAAACCCCAATTCCAAAAGGAGGTTATAATTGACCAGGAAGTCCTAAAGGAAGTGATTATTGACCAGGAAGTCCTAAAGGAGGTTATAATTGACCAGGAAGTCCTAAAGGAGATTATTATTGACCAGAAAGTCCTAAAGGAGGTTATAATTGACCAGGAAGTCCTAAAGGAAGTGATTATTGACTAGGAAGTCCTAAAGGAGATTATTATTGACCAAAAAGTCCTAAAGGAGATTATTATTGACCAGAAAGTCCTAAAGGACCTAAAGGAGGTTATAAATGAAAATGACCAGGAAATCCTAAAGAAGGATATTGTTGATCAGAAAATCCTAAAGGAGATTATTATTGACCAGGAAGTTCTAAAGGAGGATATTGTTGACCAGGAAATTCTATAGGGGACTGTTATTGAATAGAAGCCCCAGCTGGTTATTATTATGGAAAAAAATTTAATTACTATTGGTTATTAGGTGCTTGTTGTTGTTCTTGATTAGGTTATATTTATAAATTACCATAAGATGCTTATTTTTGGTAAGGTTACCCTTATGGTTAAATTTGTTAGTTTTAAAATTAACCATTATCAGAAGAATTTGGTGAAAAAGGAAATTATGCTTTGTTTTGCTCAAAATTAAAATTTTGATCTATGATAATTATTTGATAAGAGTTACCATAATTTTAGAAATTTTATCCACTTATAGGATTTTATTAATTATAAAGTTATCCTTATGCTTATTCTTAATTATATTAATTCATTTGATTCTATCCACTTTGCGCTTAGTTTGTTAGAGCATTATTCTAAATTCTAATTATTTAACTTATATAAAATTAATTACAAAATTAACTAAGTGTTCTATCCAATATTTTGCTATTAAAGAGTTTTATTTCTATCTAGAACAAAATTGCCATTTTAAGTTTATACTTAAATATGGAAATTGTTCTGATCAGATTATTGA